ACAGCCTTTATAAGCAGAATGCTAGCCTAAATTAAGGAATCTAACTAAGCTTAAAAAGAAGGTAGTTATTAAGTATATACTTAAGCTTATTACACGCAGATTTCCCTTTAGGCTTGTAGCTATAGCTAATATAGCTAATTTCTTGCCTATAAAGCGTAATCTAGGCCAGGTTAGCTTAAACTAGACTAGTATATAAGTTAAGCACTGCCTTAAGTTTATAATAAAGTTTAATTACAAGTATAATTATAAAAAAGCGCTTTATAAAGATCTAAAGGTTATCTAGGGCTAGTTTTACCTAGTAGCTAATATAAAAGCTAAGTACAGTATCTAAGATAAAGATAGGTATAACTTTAATAAGTTAAGCTTTATAATAAGCTAGATATTAACTAGAGCAGTTATTACAGCTTTAAAGAGACAAGAACAGCTAAAGGTAATATAGTAAAGTAATAAAAAGTAAATAATAGTTATCTAGAGCATTAACATAATAAAGTAGGCTATAAGATTATAAAGCTTTAAGCAGTAAATAAAGCTGCTACGCAACATAGATTACATAAAAGGAAGCAGATTTAGGCAGAAAAGACCTTAATAGTTAAGAATAAGGCTTGTCTAACTACTCTAAAGGAGTTTAGAGCGCGTAGTAATAGGAAGAAGCTAAAAACGCAGGTGCGCGCTAAAAAAAGTAAGCTAAGTTAAAGGTAATACAAGTAGTGTAATTAGACTAGGCATAACTTGCGTATATGTAAGTAAGTAGTAGAAGTAGACTCTAAATAATATCTTATGTTGTATTACTCTATACAGGGCTAAAGTGGGCTGTTTTGCAAGAGAATGGGGTGGTTTTAGTGGGGGCTTGGCAAAAGTGGCCGGCCAACCCGTGTGGCTGGCCAACCTGTTAGGTACGTTATAACTTTAATAAGTTAAGCTTTATAATAAGCTAGATATTAACTAGAGTAGTTATTATAGCTTTAAAAAGATAAAAATAGCTAAAAGTAATATAGTAAAGTAATAAAAAGTAAATAATAGTTATCTAAGACATTAATATAATAAAGTAGGCTATAAGATTATAAAGCTTTAAGTAGTAAATAAAGCTGCTATAAGACATAGATTGCATAAAAGAAAGTAGATTTAGGTAAAAGAGACTTTAATAGTTAAAAATAAAGCTTATCTAACTACTTTAAAGGAGTTTAAAGCGCGTAGTAATAAGAAAAAGCTAAAGACGTAGGTGCACGCTAAAGAAGGTAAGCTAAGTTAAAAGTAATGTAGGCAGTGTAATTAGACTAGGCATAACTTATGTATATGTAAGTAAGTAGTAGAAGTAGACTTTAAATAATATCTTATGTTATATTACTTTATACAGGGCTAAAGTAGGCTGTTTTGCGAGAGAATAGAGTGGTTTTAGTGGGGGCTTGGCAAAAGTGGCCGGCCAACCCGTGTGGCCGGCCAACCTGTTAGGTACGTTAGCGTATTTACCTTTATTACTATTACTATTTTAATAAAAGTGCTGCTAATATCAAATACTTGCACTATAATTATTAGTAATTGCTAATATTTAATTAGCTAGATTCTCGCTTATTAAAAACTACGCTGTCCTAGTCTAGGCAATGTAATTTTAAACTTCAGGAAATCCGACGATCATCTATCCGGAATTAGTATTATCGATTGGGAGTTTGTCACAATAGGACCCTCTTTTCTAGGTGTGGGCAACTTCGTTGGCGAACTATTTTGCACTGGCTACTTGAATAGTGCTCACTCAACATAGGGGGAAGTGCTTGACTCCTTCATGCTAGCATACCGAGAATTTGGTGGGCCACTAGACATTAAAAAGGTGATTGCTTTTGTTAGCGTTGGCATCATAGAGAGTCTTCCACGGCGGATGAAATACAGTAGTCGAGCAACACCGGCTATGGCCACAAAATGTGTAGACCATGCATTGAGATGGGGATTCGACCGATTTAGTTTCAGAAGAGAATGATCCCTTTCCGTCCTTGTCAAGAATTCTAAAAGATTGGCAATGCGAGGGGGACTAGGGAATGAGAACAGTGAATCACCACAACATTGTCTTAATTAAATAGAATACCTGAATCTGTAGTGCATGTGTCCTCGCCAATTATTCTTTTCCTGAGATTGTTTAATCGCCTCGCATGGCTTGCTCAGTGGATCTTCTTTTTCGGCCACCTATATGGATTTCTGATAAAAAGCAGTGTTCCTTGAATAAGTGTAAAAAGTATGAGAGCGCACCAGCACCAAGAATATAGTGTAGATCAACCAAACAGGTGCTAAGTAGCCTTAGTATATTTTTCACTGTAGGGCCATATATTTAAGGTATCGTAGCTGACCCCCTTGGGTAAAAACAAGTTTCAAGGTTGCGGGGGTCAGTTGCCCGCAACAATATCATGCGATAAGCCTTTGGTTGATCTGCTTAACTTGGCTATCACTTTGCACTGCAATACTCGTCTACGCTGGGACATTAGGTCCAACGGGCTCGAGTCCAAGAGCAGTCCTCTTCGAGGTGCTGGCAGGATTGGATCAAAATACGGCTTCTCACCTATACCAATTGCTCGGATCCCGAAACGGTTTCCTTGGTCGTCACAATCAAGGATGGCAGTATGAAAAACGCTTCGATTATCCCAGATTGCTAATAATTTATTATCTTACTTGGGATTTTTGAAGAGATATATGGTCACTCAACAATGTCATTTGGATTCTTCTACTTAAAATGGACTTGAAGGTCATAATTCTTATAAGATAATTTAAGAAACCTGTTCATCATATGCTTAGATTCCACTTCTGTTAAGCCGTTAATGTGTTGAACATGTCTGCCAACTGGGTAAATACTCTTCCATCCAGTTACGGGATTAGCGCGCACAACACGGTGATAGCCTTTAGTCCGCCACCGACATTCTCTGGGGCGCCACGCTCTTTCTCGTACATCTTGTAGCCGCCTTTATTCGTGATTTCGTGATACTCGGGCTCGTGAGAGTCTCGAGGAATCTCTGATATGGCTCACTAAGACGACCGTTGATTTCGTAACCCGAAGCCCATACGGTGTCTTGTCAACGTTAGTACCGAACAACAAAGTTGCATTGGGGTTTTTGGGGGGGGGAGGGGGGTGGAGGTGTGAGGGTGGGATCTACGCTCCGCCTCCGGTCTTGGGGACCTGGGTAAGCCTCTCAGCGATGTGTAATCAGCGGGAACAGGCTCAAATGCAGTATCACTATTCCAATGAGCGGTGTTCTGCCTCTTTGGGCTCAGATCTTCTTAGCCGGAATTCTTGAGGAACTTGTTGCGCTGGGCGGAGCTGATGGTATTGATTTCAGGGTCTCCGCTAGACTCGCCTTCGGAGTTCATGACGGGATGTATATGGAGGCGAGAGGTTTTTGGTTTTCCAGTTAGCTCGCCCAACCGTTGCATCAGCAGCCTCTGGAGGTCGTTTGTTAGGTCGTCTTGGGCGCGAAAGAAGACAACGCCGCTTGGAAACTTGACGCGAGTCAGCGGTTTTTTTTATAAGCCTGACGAGGCCTACTCTTGATGGCCAAATCAAGCAGAAACTCATCTACATTGGATGCATTAATCCACTTGACAATCTTCGCGGTGTGAAATTCTGTTCCTATAGAGGGGGTGACGTCAATCTGATCATATTTGTCCAAAACAGCCGAAGACTTCAGCGGCTTCGGGTACTCGTTTGACGCTACTACGACCTAAGACTCAACTGGAGAGGGTTCCATAATTTTATTGGAAGGGTGGGTATCGCAAGTTCACTCATGGCCACAGGTCTTCCTGGAGATCAAGTTTATTGAACTTTTATCTCCATAGTAGCGGTTAGGGTCAACGGCGTATATGACGGCTACGAGAGGTGGATCGTAGCGGTGGATTTGGTTGCCTTGTCGGGGCCGAGTTCGAGGATTTTGCCTTGGGCGGAGGGGACAAGGGGGAGGACAGAGATGGTGTTTTCATAGGCGATAAAGCCGTCGGCTGTGCACGGGAGTTATACTGTGAGTGGTTGGGCTGAGGACAAGGAAGTGACAAGTTATGATAAAGAGTTTTGCTATAGCAGCGTCTCGAATTCGTTAGGGAACTGTAATTGAGGCGAGGCCGTCTTTGCGAAGGGCTTCTTTGAAAGTGCCATAGTGCACTATTCTGGGGAATTAGCCCCGCATATCCGTACGTACAAACAGCCACCTGCATCGATGCTAACAAGTTAGGACAGCTGCGCATCAGGCTCAAAGAGGGGAGTGATAGCTTTAAATATTCTTAGACAAGCCCTATCGTTCCCATTAAAAATTAGGTTTGGAGCTAAAGTAACGTCCGTCCCTGCGAAGCGAGACAACCCCCCGTGCCGCGACGTATGAGGGGTACTTCGACTTACAGTAACACGCAAGCTGTGGGCGCAGTAAATATTGCCATGAAAGCAAGCGAGTTGCACGCTGTAGCTACACCTAAACATCGCAGATCCCTCCTACCTAAGAATTACATTCGTCTCATCGCCTTCGCGCCTGTTTTCACGTAACAGCCGACTTTCCTCCCTGAAGCGCCATTGTCTAACTCCTACCGCTCCAGGAATTCGTAGAAAGGCTCTATCCGAACCCCAGAACCTCACTCTGCTGTTAGGAAATCACAATTCGCCTTTTGCCTACTGTTGCGCGCAAACTCATGCAGAGTCGCTGTGCCAATCAGTACTTATAAGAAGGAGCGATTACGAACCTATCTAATGCGAGATGACCTTGCACATACCATCTCGTCATTTCCATGTAATTTAAATGATGACTGCTCCATCCGTGGCTGTGCTGCGCCTTTCCAGGTGCGTCGGGATATTAGTAGTATATCTAAAGTAATGGAATACAGTAACATGAACCCATGCATGTACAAAACCTGTCCTGTTATACGAGATATCTTAGGCAACCTCCGCGAATCCGCACTATCAGGATGGAGCAACACGTTGTTCTGCCTAGGTAACCCGGGCAGTGGGAAAAAGAGGCGCAACTCTCTTTGGATTGATGATTTAGAAGCAGCCGTGATTCAAGCTCCTCTGCTATATATAATCATACGGTTTTAGCATAGAAAATATAGCGTGCAGTAACGCTGTATATACTAGTTGCTAAGGCATGTATTGCAGACAGAGAGATACGAAGGCGATTAACGCTCCTGTCGCGGACTCCTGGTGAAACGTTTGATCCATCTGGTACCGTTTATCCATGTCCATTGAGGTGACAGCTTTGGCACGGCTGACCAAATCTACTTCTTCTCTATCAACATTTCAAAATTTCTACCCCAGTAGTGATAACCCATTTGAAGTCATCTGGCTCCAAATCTCGCCTAGAATAACCCAGCGAACTCGAACTCGCACTAAGGCCCCTAATGCGATATGCCGTCTTTAGCGTATCTCCACCACAAGAACTCAAGGCGACTTTGCCCTCCACATCCGCATGTCTCGTAAATCTCCCGTTCATCGGGCCCACGAAGTAGAGAGTAGAACTGGACTATATCTTCTAGTCAATGATTGCCCGACATGTTTAGTACTATGAGCAAAGCCAACTTACTACAGAATCTGGGTTCGACGCAAACGAGTAATCTGCGATGAAGAGTGCCGACATTTTAGCATCCTCCAGCTGAATATAACCGCTAACATCGTTTCCCACTGTATTCGCTCGAGCTCTGTATCCTGAAGGAATGCCGATGTCTACATTCGCTACGCAATTTCTCCTCTGGTTGTTGGCCGTTCTGCTAGGTTCGGTCCATGGTGTAAACGTATCGAGGGTGTGCACCAGCTGGAAGACACCTGTAGTGCTATTAACGGTTTTGGTCACGGTATTCACCGATCCGTTAAAGCAAATGCCGCCAGAGGAAGTTGGAATGTCAAGTGTGATTCCGGGGGTGGGATCAGTGCCTGCGGCTGGCAATGCTATGATGCAGCGCACGAAGAGTAAAGGGAGCAAGAGCTTCATGTTGATAGTTTCTAAAGTCTTCGATGAAAGTCGTGGTGAGTCGCCGGGTCAATGTTCTTATAAGTTGCACTCCTTCACCCTGCAAAAGACCATCTAATTTGTGACTACTTTATTCTAGCATAGCGATGTTGCTTTGCAGAATGGATAATCCTACGTCGCTTAGCCTTATATCGCCACTCTAACCAAAGCCAGTCTGCATGTGTCTTGGGGGGAGAGCAACGATGGAAGGATTTGCGGCCAGGTTCCTCACTGGTTGGTTTATCTATCCGTTCATTTAGATCAATCAAACTAATCTGATAATGGAGGGCATCCTACCCTCAATCTAGATTAATTCTATCTAACTAATAAATTTTTTTCTACGCAGAGGGTTGGCTTAGCCTTCTTAGCAATGCGCGTAGTGTCGTTTGCGTTCTAATGCCAATAGCGATATGTCTCAAGCAAGGCAAAGCAAAGGCGTCTTCCATGTCCTTAGCCTTATCCTGACAATCCTTCTGGTTCCTCTCGGAGGTGAAAATTGGAGCAACTGAACGGATATATAGACCTTCTCCTGAAGAGATGGTTGAAAGGTCGTCTGATGAAGAAGTTTGTACGAGGTGTGTACAATCACATGTACCCATCACCCTCTATCTGGCTCTACACTGGACGTTAAGTCGTGGTCCTGAAATATCCTTACAGGGGAAGCAGTGCAGAGGCGTTGATTTAGGCGTAGCCAATTTTTTAGATGGTATAACTTAATACTCTCGACCCTCATAGCAAGGTTCAGCAGGATATTCGATCCACCCACGTCACAAGCCCAGCGGGAGTGGAAATATCTTAGGTCAGGCCCAAAAACCATTTCCGGCTCAAACGCCGCCTATCAAGTCTGTGATTCCACAACATTCCTTACTTACTCTTTACGCGTCTCTATCTGGGGATCGCTAACCTTGGCCTTTTCCATGGCCTGGTAGAAGGTGCCACCTTTAGAACATATCCGTCGGAGTGTATATACTGCAGCAAGCGGGTTCTGAGTCTCCCAAGCTTGCTTTTCTAGCTGCTTTAACTGCACTAAGTTAGTGTAGCTGACGTCCAATGTGCTCCTTTTCTGTTTCTCGAACCTGGACAAGATCTTCTTGGGCGTCATTATGAACGAGTGTACTTTTAAAACGCGCGGCGATTCCACGCTCGGCGTCTTTACCGCGGCAATGAGCAGCTTGCCAACGTCCCCCATTGAGGTGGAAGTGATCATCTCCTTACCACTACCCAAGAGCATGGCGAGCTTCGATTTAACGTCAAAAGTGCCCGCCTCTTCATGCTCCTTGTCCATATTGCCAAAGTATAAGTCTATGAACCAGTGACCAGATGGGTAACTTTCATCTTTTTTACGCTTTCCCAATTGTATTTGAGTACAGCCAGTTTCATCTGGTGTGGCTTTTTGGTAGCGTATTCGGGTCCATATTCAATGTCTGTGCCGTACTCGGAGGGGTAGAAGGTGCGGAACGATAGACACTTCAGCAGCTGTAATTAAGGCAATCTAGGACATGAGGACGCCGCGACCCAGGGCAGAGATGATGGTTTCAAAGCCTTTACGAGGGCTAGTCAACAGACGAATGGATTGAGCCAAGCTGAAGCCATGTGGGACTCGATGAGCATTGCGCCGGGATCCGGCTGCCCTCCGGGCCAGAGAGGCTGGGAGATGAAGGAGAGGCAAGAGTCTTTTCAAAATAGAAGTTTGCTAATGCCATAGTGTATGTGCTAGATATGCCACAGCGGAAGGCATGTTGTTGAAAGGCAATGGACGGGATGTCTAGAGGCGAGGAAATTGGATGCATCATAGAGTCCAAGCGTTCCTTGATGGCTAAGTGCACTTGCCTTCGTACGACTTTGACACTTCCGCCTCAGAGTGTATGAGGTAGCTCAGAGTGTTAGTGCAAGGCAGTGCAAAACAATGAAACTGGATACATCGCTCTCACAAACCAGACAAACTGGACAAACTGAACACCTTCTCCAGCGCAGCACACGTCTGAAATTCAGTACAGTAAAGTACGCAGCCGCTAGTGTACGCCAACGTGCGCTAAAGTAGTACGCTAAGGCCGAAGGATGTTGAGACCCCTCTTTCCTCGCTCCGAAACTCCTGGAATTTACAAACATGATGGCAAAATGACTGAAAACCTTAGAATTTTATTCTATCTTAATGTGACTACCACAATAGGGCTCCAAAATCTGAAGGCTTGTGGATAGTCGTGGTCGGACAGGGGTAACGCGCCTTGACGAAACGATTGACAGGTCATCTCGTTACGGGGTGTTTCTCGCCACGTAGTGAGGGATGTTATTTAAGCAGGGTTGCAAGGCAAATGCCGCTCTGGACACTTTAAAAACAACAATCACCAGCATGATTAAGAGTGCTGTATTTATTTCCCCTGCACAGTGGCATATTGAGGAGAAATATCTAAAGAATATACACTAGTTTTACCTTAATAGAACCGCAAGGGGAGGGTGGAGCTGTCTAGACACCGGATTCATTCCAGCTCAGGTGATTTTCCGCCACCTATGGAGGGACGTTAGTAGGGTTTATGCAGCATAGCTCTAACCCTAAAAAGATTCTGATGTCTAATGTAGCAAGAGCGGAGCGCTCTTAGGCCTCTCCACGTGGTAAGGGATTGGACGAAGCCAATAGTTAAGACCAGTCTACTTTTCTCGTTGTAAGTAACAATAATGCGGAAAACATGTTAAAGCACAGGTAAGAAAAATTTAATAGCGTCTAAGAGGAACAAAGGTGGACTTAAGATGGATATTAACGTAAGAACCCTCGTCACGGTGGGGTTTCTGCGACATGGGGAGGGAGGCTAGAGAAGAGAGATTACTAAATAGGAGTAAAGAAAACAAGAAAGACATCATTAACAAAGACTTCGTTGAGCTAAGACAAAGAGATAAAGCCTTCGAGCCTTCAAAAATGGATTGGCCATACAATGAAGTACTTGGCATAGTGTCATACAGCTGAAATGTAAAGTGCAGTGCTTGGTCGGTGGTATTATCGGTGTGTTGTCGACGTCTTGCGGGGAAAACATGTTCGTTAGTGGAGGTCTTGTGGTTGTTGTTCGATAGTAAAATCTGTGCGGTCACGGGGACGAGTATCCAAGTTTTTGGCGTCTTAAGGAAAAGGTACGTTTGGAAACAGAGTATCGATATTTAAATGGGCGATCGTGTTTCGCCAACACTCAATGCACGTGTCGATGACGTTGGAACTAGATCGAAACATTGGAGGAGGGCAAGCGATACTGGACCCCACTTCATCATTGTGTTGTGCCCTAATAGGTCCCATTAGCATCATAAAGGCGTAACTAAAAGGAATTACGCTAGCTCACCTCCATGATTAGCGATCAGCTTACTAACACTTCTTTGTCCTTGGCTCCAGACTTCCTGTCGGCCAGCTTCTCCTAAGTCAACAATACCGACCTTCTCCACAATTTCTTCATCTGTTAAGGTGGAGTTCTCTGAGATCTGGGAGGCCAATACACCTGCTTGAACAGTAGACTTGAAGATCTCCTCACTCTGGTCCCAAGGCATCGTCGTGTCATCCTTTGCATGCACCAGTACTAGGCGGAACGATGGGCTTTTCGATATCAAGTGCGCAAGGCGCTCGGAAGTATCCCAAGTATCTACCATTCTCCGGCTGAACCAGGCCTGGAATAAGGGAATGGTCTTCACGGGAGCGAGGATGGGAAACACATCAGCCAGGGAATAGGCTGTGAACGCACTCCCCGAGTTGGTGAATGCAGCACCAAGGATGAGCCCTGAAAACTGGACTGGAGGCTCATGGTTGATGTAATGGTGAGCTACGCCGGTCGCGACAGCCGTTCCGAGGGAATGGCCTAGCAGGACAATACGATCGGATGAAACGTTGGCCAAGTTAAGAGCCCATTCTAGTACGGAAGTACCATCATTCAGGAGGCCGGTCTCTGATGGCGACCCTGTTGATCTCCCGAACCCGCGGTAATCAAATGTAAGAGTAAAGATCTTATCGGATGCGCCGGATGAGTACATCCGATACTCTTCAGTACGTCGGCCTTGGGCGATGGTAGCTGAGTTCTGAACTGTTGGTATCTAGTCGGACTGACAGAATGGATCTCAACTTACGCCATGGACTGCGAGTACTGATCAGCGATTGATGCAAGATAAGGATGGTTCACGTTACAATAGACCAAGAGTCTCGCTTCTGGGTCATCTCGGAGAAGCTTGAAAGCCATCTTGTCTTCGATATCCCCGTCTACCCCGGATTTCTCATTTATGAACTCTTCGGCATGCTCTGCGTAAACACCAAGAGGCGCGATTAGCCATGCAAATAGTCTTTCGCCGTCTTGAGTTGGGATTCGGAAGCGTGCGACCTGGTTCTCTAGCATGCATCAATACTGTACCCAGACTCGACGGACTCGTACACGTACTCAGAAAACCAGCTCTTTCAGGCTCATGAAGCCATTTTCCAGGCCACATGGTCACCCAATGGAGATACAACATCCTGCAGCCTATCAGAAACGGGGACCACCGTGACCGAGAATGAGAAGACCTACTGTTTCTGCACCCAAGGAATACAACATAGAAGGGTAGCCGGAATCCATACCCCGCTAACAAAGACCAGAGGCAGTACTGTATAGTTGAATAAAGTCATTGTTCCCTGTTTGTGATGGCTTTGTCGAAACAACAGCGAGGGTGGAGGTTGATGTTGAGTTTTTGGCGCCTTCCACATTTGGTTGGGGTTCCGAAAGCTTGGTCAACCTGGCTTGTCCAATTCCTCCACGCCCTTTGCGCCTCCAAGTAAGCCAAAATCCATCCTCAATTCACTCCCGCTTATCCTAGCCCCAGCCCCACACGCTTCCATTTACGCGTCAACGACACAATGGAGTAGCATGTGATGTCGCGTTGAAGCATGATTGGATATATTTCCGACGCTGAATAGCGGGTCTCCAATGTACAAGACAGCACGCCAGGATTTAGATTCGTTCCACGATACGCGATTCGACAGCGAGTCTAAACTTGAACGAGAAAGGTCGGCGCTGGGAAGTCCGACGAGGCGTCCATATAAAAGCTGCTGCCTGCCCGACACTATGGAACAGCAACGCCGCTCTCCTCGCTTCGATCCCAACCCCTCCGGACTGTCGTCGTCATCCCCACCCACCAATTCGCAAACTCCACCAAAAATGTCGACCACAGGCGTCTACCACGGCTCCTGCCACTGCGGTAGTATCAAATACCAAATCCGTCTGACCTTCCCACCCTCTTTAACCGACAAGGATCCAGCGGCAAAGACTATCCGCATCTACAAGTGCAACTGCAGCACGTGCCAAAAAATGGGCTATTTCCACCTAAGGCCAATTAATGCATCCGACGATTTCATTCTTACCTCTCCTTCTACAATCGAAGAACTCGGCGACTACCGCTGCTTCGACAGGAAAGTCGGATGGTATTTTTGCAAGACGTGCGGTGTGCGTACGTTCGGCCTTGGTGGGGAATGGGAGCAGGTAGAACTCGATGTCGAAAAGTGGGCTGGGAAGGAGGACGGCGAGGGTCAGGCGCAGAAAGTTTGGAAAACGAAACCAATGGATATTAAGAAGGTTGTTGATGGGAAGGAAGTTACGAAGAGTGCGCATTACGTAAGTGTGAATGCAGTGACTCTGGAGGCGGGGCAGGAAGGTGCCGATTTGAGAAAGTGGCATGAGCAGGGTTGGATTTTTTACGTGGATTCCAAGAATCATAAAGAAGCAATGAGGTTTGGAGAGCCGCATGAGGGTGGTATGTACTAGCACCGGATAACGAAGATTTCGGCAATATGGGAGCTGCGGAAGCCTTTCAGGGGTTGACGTCAAAATTCTTTATCAATTTATGAAAGTCAATGCTCCCTAATCGCGTCTACGTCTAGGTTTCCACTACACAGGCATCTTTTTTGACACTACGATTTACTATCTCAGACTACATCGGACGACTCGGTACGACTACTACCAAACCTCACGCCTCAGGTGTTCAACCAAGGGTTCGTCTCAGCCTTTGCATTTTCGGGCAGTTCTTTCTTACTCCCTTTTCAATTTATGGCCAAAATCTGACCCTTATATCTCGGACTTCGAGCTTAGCGTCGGGTCACGGGCTTAGGCCATCATTGGCGCCTTCTTCGGATTCAGAATCAGATCAAGATCAAGATCAGATACTCACCCTCTCCTCCGCCCCTTACGTCACCACTTTACGTCATCCCCTTACACCACCCGTTTAGTTTTTCTCCGCCACACTCCCATTCTTTCCCTTCCACCATCCACCACTACCAATTTCAATATCCACAAACTGATCCCGAGTCGGCAAATTCATGCCCTCCCTTGCCTGATCTGTTACCAAAGCCCCGAAATCCCAGTTATCCCGGCTCCCATTCGTCTTATCCCCACGTTCAAGCGCTTCCCGTGCGTGAATCCTATCCGTGATGACCTTGGTATTCTCGCGGTGGAACGCTGCGTCAGGTCCGTCTTGTAATGCGGCGGCTGCTGCACGGCGGTATGCTTCGCAGTCAGGATCGGAGTGGGAGATGGTGGACATTTCGTAGGGGGTGTGGGGTTGGTATGAAGTGTCTAGAGTTATGGCGTTCGAACTGTAGGGGTAGCTAGTGTTGTAGTGCGCGCGTGCATTGGATGGCACGCCATTGTTAGGTTCGATGAAGGACCCCCAGTCCCCTTGGGTGTCGCGGAAGTCGCGGGTTGGGTTGTCTTCGCGACTATTACTGCTGGGGCTGCAGTTTGTGAGTGCACCCCAGAGGTTGCTAATGCCGCGGTGAAGAGGGCGGGTGTTCCAGTGGTGGGCTGGTAGAGGCGGGGATGGTGTTGGAATCCGGTAAGATGGGATACTTACGTTGGACTGAGTATGCTCTTCCCAAGTTTCCCAAGAGTTTTGTGGATCATTTTCATCTCGGTGATAGCGATCATTAACCTTCTGCTTCCCTCTCCCCTTCCACCCAAACATCACCGAAAAAGCCTGTGGCCGTATAAACTGATAGTCTCCCGCCTCTCCACTGTGACGCGGCCCCTCTGCGGTCATCTTCCCTCCTGGTAAACCCCCCGCCGCAATCCTATTATCCTCTAATTCACCCATTCTGTCCTTCACCATCTGTACCGTAATACGATTCGGCTCTTCGCCACCCTGGAGATTTTTTATTTTATCTTCTAGGCGCTTGCAGCGGGGACAAGATCCCTTCACTCGGCCCCATATATAGAGACCAATTAGAGCGAGGTAGAAAATTATCATTACAGCCATGAAGACGACGACGACGACGAGGAAGGTGTTGCTAGCGCCAGGTGAGAGGTCGAGGAGAGCTGTGGAGTTGGAAGAGTCGAGGTGGGGTTTCGGTGTTGCGAAGTTCGACGGTAGTGGGGGAATTGTGTTGGTGAGGGGTGGAGAGGATCCTGACAGAGATGAGGATCTAAATGTAGATAATTTGATATCCGATGGTATTGATGAAGGGGACTGAGATAGTGTCGAGGGTAGAGCTAGAGAAGAGGTTGGTGCGTGTTCACCTGCTGTCGCGGTTGTGAAATCGGTAATTGTTATGAAGACGACTTCAAGACTCGGATCCCCCATGATGATTTTGGCGCAGTGAGTTTAGCCTTCAAATATTCTTAATGTACGTAAGGAGGGGCTTTGGTCTACGTGTAGGGACCGACGAACTGGTAGTTAAATTAGAGCAGCCTTATATCGTGACGTGTTATGAAGGGCTCCATTGTGAACGTCAGGGAGTTAAGGTAGCGTTCGGGAAATTGTTGTGCGTGAACAATATTGGGTAGAGAAAGTATTGTGATGCTGGGAGTTTAAGTGTCCAGAATGTAGAGTTAGCATTCTGAAGAAGTGTGGGACGCAGAAGCGTAGCGAGCTGACCTTAATGGCAGGCGGCCGATGCCATCCACTTTAACTGATATGGGCAATTGTGATGAGGGGAATCTCCCCAAGAGAGAAAGGTGTACTAGGAAGAGAGCGGTTCATCCTGAAGAAGCGAAAAATTAAGATGTGTTAGAAATGAGTTCAGCGAGAGAGAGAAACTGAGTAAGAGATAGACTTGTAATACAAGTGGATATAAACGATTACCCCAACATCAACTTAGCGCATTTTTTAATTCTTGAATACCGAAATGCATAGTGAAATTTTCTTTCCAATTACTATTCAAGCATCCTGGATGAAATTTGAAGCTGATAGCCTCCCCTTATGTTCTTCTGAATATTTTCCTAACTCATCCAGGGTGTAACCCTGTTCATGTCCTCCGCTCCAGACCCAGGCCGCCCCATATCCCTACAACGATATGTCATCGGGTTCTGACGCTTGCGGAAGCTTACTAGATTTGACATCACGATTCCCGGTCGGTTTACAAACTCCACCAAGCACGAATATCTCATCTTGTGCTGAGTTTCTATGACGATTTATATTTATGACGTCACTAACCGCAGCTATCTCACCGTAACTAAGACTTAAAGTGATCTCGCTAGCTTCGCCGATCGAAATTAGTGCTAACGGCAGTCCTAACAGTCTCAACACTTGTATGTTTTAGGTTTGCCGTCTTCACCTTTCCAGGAATCATATGGAGGGTAGTTTGAACACTTTTTGACTGTGGTTGACCTAATTGAAGTGGAACTGGTCATCTGCAATTGAAGCTGTGAGCGTAGCTCATAAATCCTTGGGGTAGCGAGAAACTGATACACTTTCTTGTGTAGGTTCAGACGAGAGCCACTTCGGCGACTTGGATGTTTGCAGCGTGATCCCATTTCGTATTCGGCGCTCCGCCAGCTAATAATGATGGGGAGACATCAGCGGGGGCATTCACAGTCACGACTAATGCATGTACTGCATGACACGGATTGGGGAGATTGCGCAAGACCAAGTCGCTATTTTCAGATTGGTAAGACTTTAGTTTGGTTGCAGAGATACCTGCCTCGAGATCTGGATCTGGATATCGATGTTCGTGGATCGGAGGAAAGGTGGACTGGAATTGGGGCTTTCGTTTTGAATGCCTAGATTCGAACAGCCACTTTGATTTATTCCAAAACTTGTTCGTCTCTTCTGTTTTCTGCATCTTTGAATCCTTGTTCTGTTTCCCTCGAAGACGCCGCCAGAAAAGGCTTGGGAAATTGATGAAAAGCGCTAGCAAAATAACAAGAGTAGTAGCACACAACGAGAGAAAGATAGGGCCCTGTGGGGATTTGAAGACAAATCGCTTTGGAGATGAAGCAGTACCGCGACGGACTGGTGGGATCGGTGCATCAATGAAGACGATTGGTGGTCGAACGGAAGGTGTGGCTGCGGTGGGAGCAGCCACGCGCGATCAACTATACTAGCAAAAACGGCTCGGTACTGAGCAGGTACACCTGTTCCAGCCAGAGCAGCACTACGCTCAATAAGATCACTAGATACGATAAGTGGTGTGACACTGCAGATGTAGGAAAATCAATCGCCTCTACAAGATTGGTGAAAACGATGGGAGGTTAAACGGATTCGGTGATTCTAGTAGGAGCAGCTATTTGATCGACGAAGGAATTGTCGATCGCAGCGACACGGTTGATGCTGGTGGCACTGCCCGCGTCCTACATAGACTGAGGAGGATGTATGTGTACAACACTTTCGGAAGTGAAGTGGAAGTTCAGCACACAGGGTTGCAGGAATATAAGGAGTGGAAATCAGGAGTTATGGGAAGACATATAGGTCTTATAGATAACGAGATCGACATAAAAGAAGCGACGCGCATTATTCGCCTTCTTTAAGGGCACGAGGAACACATTGAAACAATCGAAGATGCCATTGAATATCCACAATGATCGAAGAGAAAGAGGCTCTGTGTTGTTAGCAGAAGGAAGTCGGGGGAATTTCGAAAGGCTTCCATGCATTGCTCGTCGTTGTGGTTTCATTGGGTGTAAAAGAGAACTTAGTAAATTGCAAATCTAGCATTACGCAACTGCAGAGACAGCAGTATGGCTAAAGGACTGCAGAAAGCTTAGTAGCTAGGCTGTCTCTTTAAGGAGCTATGGAAGAAGTAACAAAGGTAACGACTGGGATGTCTCGGTGAATTTGTCGTACTATTTCGAGAAGCGAAATTCCATTTCTCTCACAACATCAGTCTAGAGCGATCCCAAGGCGTGCTCTTCACTGATAGGTAACTGGCATGCCGCCCGGAAGGGAAGGGAGCCCTGTGCAATACACATTAGCTTGGGATGTTCCGAATCTCAAATTTCAAAACTATGTAGGGACCCTCGTGATGAGGTAATCATGTGAGCACTTACATCCTTCGGTCTCCTCTCCAGAAACTTGCGATTGCTTCATGCACTTGTTGGCCTCGGCAGCAGTTTGTGTCTTCAACCCCTTGCATGCATCGCCGGCGCATCGTTCGTCAAGGGCAACCTGCAAGGCATTCCCCTTCCACCCGAAGAGGTAGTCACCGTGCCATCCGTATCCAGTGCTGTTTAGTTCCATTAGTATATATCACTACGAGAGCAAGCCAAAAAGTAGAAACAGCAAGAAGAGCATCAACGTACCCGTCACCCATGCTGTAGACGAATGGCTGCGTCCCATCTGTAGGCCAGATGCTCTTGTCATTGAACGGTCGAGTGTCCCACATTACCTCGTACATGACCTGAGGCATCTTGACTGGGTGAGTAGAAGGGCAGGGTCCAGAAGATTCGAAACTTCCACTGCTTGGGTACGCCATGTGCGACTTGTGATCGGGAGAGTCGAGATTCTTCCCGTCCCAGCATGTTGGGAAGGTAATAGTTGCTCGAATACCGCCACCACATTGCTTGTTTGGTAGGGTGAAAGTATCGTCGCCCGTGCAGGGTGCGCCACCAAAGGGGTTCTGCGCAACGTTTGCTTCACAGCGATGGCAAAGCTGTTTCTGACCACCTTGGGATTTTCGGAGTGAAGCATCACCAACGAGCATACGGAAACCCTATCATCAGATTAGATACCACAGCGTCTCTCATCTTAGAGGGAGATGTAATGTCAGAAGCACTGACAGGCTTGAAAGCGGTGAGCTTGGTCTTTCCGTCATATGCCGAGTTGTAGTAAACCGTCAAGCCACCATTCTTTCCCTTAAGACCCAAGTTGGTCAACTGTGGCACACGCTTGAATGATCCATTGCGAGCCTTGAAGTACAGGCTCGCCGTCCAGTAGTTCGAGAAGTCTTCAGAGTAGGTGCACGAGGTACAAGTCGAAGCCGCTGCAGGATCAAAGCTGCCAGCTGGCATAGTCGCGTTGAATGAATTTCCTCCAGCAACCTGATGGACGTGTGCGGCGGGCGTCATTCCTGGTTGGACGAGTGGGTCAATGCGCTCGATGACGAGTTGTGAGCATTCGAAACGCATGAGCGCTGCTGATCCCTGTCGCTTAGCTGGAGCGCCATAAGCATTTTTCGAGGACAGCGCGAGCGCTATGAGGAGGCATTTCCATTGCATCTTTGTTGGCTTGACGATAAATTCGACGAGTGTAAAAAAAATCGGATAAGACGAAGGGGCGGAGGAAAAGCAAACAACTTCAAATATAAACAGGCACTACTACCCCAGATCTTCATTGCCATGCGAGTAGGTGGTTGTACTACCGAGAAATATTAATCCAATAAGTTGCACTACCGAGAGATATTAATATGCGTTACCATTCGCCGTGAAAGAACTTGAAATTAATAAACAAGCTTTACGGACAAGCTTCTGCCCAGCGGCAGTTGCATGCGGCCAGTGGGAACAACTAACTCTAAAAAGGATTGGCTACATGTAATTAACACTGAGAACAGATGCCTGCAAAAAAGGAACGACCATGCGGCAGTTGCGCAAGGACAATGAGGATTCCCGGCTACACGATCAGTTGGTCGGGCGGCGTATATTCACAACAACATTCGAAGTACTTAGGCTGGACCAATTCGAAGCCCAGATCTGACTAATTTCTTCCTGGGAGATTAGTAGTAATAAAGTTAGATTGTCCTTGGAGACATTTATGGGCCGTGGACCATAAACGTCATGATGAGTGTAACACAGCAGACTCGGTCTGCAAAGGGAACCTTCTCGATGATGAAGTCGGAGGAATGGATAGGGTTGAAAGGATAGTCTTGTCATCCGATTCTCTTTGCCCGAATAACATAATGGCAAGCGGGTGCGTCATCGGCTTAACGAAGACATCATTTGTGAATGTGCTATCCTGTGGGTGTGTGGTGTTTTAGAGATAGAAAGAACATCGAGGCCAGTCGGTTGTCCCATTTCGTCCCTTTTTGCTTTATGTGGCAATTTAAGAGGAGCTTGTAGCCGAGGAGTTGAGCTGAGTTGAGATGAAGAAGCAACGGCTCGAGCAGGATGCATATGAATTACCTCAGGGGAGACTCTCCACGTCTTTACTAAGCCAGGCTAAAGGCGTGAATAGCTGTTCAGAACAACTTTTTACGTAATTTTATTTTTAGTCTTATTCTTTCGCTTTTGTTTTAAATCACTAACCCACGCCTACTTATGTTAATAGCGTAACTAATTAAGTTGTTATAAACTTTAAAGTTAATCTAGTTAACAAAGTAACATACACTACAGGCAAGTTACTTACACACCTAAGTTGCTTATTTTTACTAAGACTACACTAAACTACCTTTTTACACTAATGCATTTCTAATAACAATACTTAAATATGCTAAAAGATTATTAAATATAGCTTATACTTTAAGCTTTTAAATAAAACATAACGTACTTCATAGGCGAGTTGCTCACACACCCAAGTTGCTTACTTTTGCCAAGACCCCACTAAACCACCCTTCCTACACTAATGCATTCCCCACAACACTACTTAGACGCGCTAAAAGAACGTTAGATACAGCTTACACTTTAAGCTTTTAAATAAGACATAAAACTCTTAAAAAAATGTGCTATAGCTATATATAAAGTCCTATAAAAGATAATAAATAACTATAGCGCTAGACAACCTTTATAAGCTAATTCTACAGCTAAATTACAAAGGCTAGGCAATAAAAAGAAGTAGGTAATTATTAAGACTATACTTAAGCTATATGCGCAAGGAATTTCCCCTTAGATA